GCCCTCTCCGCCACCTCCTCTTCTTCCTCCTCCTCTTCCTCATTCACCTCTCCTCTTTCCTCCTTGCGCTACATGCTGCCCGCTCTGGGTGCACCCGACGTATAAGATGACCCCCCCCACTTGGAGGCATGTTTTTCAGGGCAAAAAGGTCGTCTTATACGCTGGCAAATACGGTACCTTATTTCAGTGTGCAAGTCCACAGGCAAGTGATTCATGTTGATACTATTCATTGCCTACAGATACTTCAGCCTGTAGGATTCAGTGTGATTTTTAGTTTTCCAATTCATCATTTTGGGGCTTGCTTTCTGTATTCAACTCTCCAGATAACCAGGAAGAGAAGATTTGTAGGGGCCGCGGGGCATCTATAGGAGAGAGAGGGCTTTCATCTCACTGCCTTTTTATTAGAGCCACTTCACACAGGCAACTGTCAGCCATCAAGTATTAAACGATCAAGTGATACATGTTAATTTTTTAACTGGCCCTAGGAATTAAATTTAAATAAATAGAGAAGCAATTGCTTTCTGTTCACATTCAAATGATCTAAGTCATGTGTTTCAAGATCTCCTTAAAAACATTCCATACCTTTAGAGGAATAGACAGCCAGTATGTAACACATGACTAAAATGAAACTTCCATGCAGTAGTTTTTTCTAAATCCTTTAATCTTTCCTCTTAGCATTGTCGGTTTAACACCCAGTGCACCAGAGTAGATTGCACGTTTTACCACCCTGCCGTTTCTGTACCACCACGTCATGCCTTGAAATGGACTCGAACCCAAACTAGGTAATTGATTTCTTTTACTTGTTTGGATCACACATACTAATCTAATCATGCATGGAGCTGTGCAGTCACGAATTCAGCTGTTTGGGGGGAAATGCAAGAAAGTTATAGAAGAACAGTTCTCATATTGCATGTTTTTGAGTTTTGCTCTCTATTTTGGAGGTATTTGGGGTTGGTGATATTTAAGGTAGACAATACGTATCACATCCGCTTTATGACAATGTTTACTAATTTTTTCTCTCTATATATATCTTTTCCAGTGAATAATTCACACCATCCATTAATTAAATGTTCATCGTTGTACTATGATGGAAGGATTACTCACTGATGGAACAAGATGCTCTAAAAGTTACTGCGTATGCCAGGCCTTGAGTATATATTGTTTCTTAAAGAAAGTTGATTACATACATGAACAGTGTAATTTTGGAAACTTGTATATTTAATAACTGGTTTTACATATTTTTTACTGTAAAAAGTGTTTGTGGGGGGGGGAAGGATTGCTTTAACCTCAATTAAAATGTCAAGGCAAGAATTTTATCCTACCAGTGTTGGACTCCTGGTCTTTCTTCCCCCTCCCCTCCCTTTGCTTACACTGGTACAAAATCCACTGTGGGCCATCATTTCAAGACAGGAAGAAATGTCTTTATTTATTATAAAGAAATTATTTTGTCTTGGAAAATAGTGGTACATGGCTTCTGTATTTTTCATGAAAAAGAAAAGCTGGGGGTTATTACTAGAAATGGGTGTATTTGTATACAAATATCCCCCTACAGCTGCAGATAACAAAGGTCTGGCCCCCTGGGGCCAGACTGACCATTCACGATCCCGCCACTGCCGCAAGCTCCACAGTGCCTTCCTATCTCTCCCATTGCTTGCGATGGATTAGCCAGTCCTGGCAGAAGGCAGGATGATGAGCCTCTCTGCCATGTTGCAGAGTGGCTAATCCATTGCAAGCAACAGAGAGAGGAGAAGGTTCTGTGGAGCTTGCAGCAGTGGCGGAATCGTGAGTGGTTGGTCTGGACCCTCATTATCTGCACCTGTGGGGGGATATTCTTATTTGTATGCAAATACAAATACCCCCATCTCTAGTTATAACTAATTTAGGACCACAGAATCTTGGGCAGTGGTGGGTTCCAAGCCACACACACCCCATGGATGCCAAAAAGTGGGTATAGTAACACTGTATATAGCATAGTCTCTGGTTCCCTCTGGTGGCCAGTTCTGTTAATACATCTTGGAAATGCGTATTTCTGGAGGTTTTTATTTAATATTTTTAGGCAGAGAATAAGTAAAACAATGGGTACTGATCCTGTGGTCCTTTTTGATGCTGGAACCTGATGACTGACAAGATGGGAGACTAGCTGACAGCTCAGTGTATGGTACTGTTTCTGAGATTTAGTTAGGACAGTTAAAGAGCTACAGTTAAAGAGCTGTCGCCTATAGCCCTTCCTCAAAGACCTTTCTCAATGTCAGATAAATTTCTGTTTCCCCCCTCAGTTAAAGCGTGTGTATAAAATGTTAGTATAGGTGTTAAACCTAGCATTGTTCCCCATTTAACCAGGATCTGAGACCTGGGCCTCAACCCGGCATCACACGGCTATTGCAACGCCAGCATGGTGGCCCTTTCTCTCCTTCCCCCTCTGCAGCCTTGCCCTCAGAGCCACCCTAGAACTAGCTCCAGAGGACTCTCAGGCCTCCTGGACAAGGTTTGGAAGTGCAAAGGGTGGGGGCGCAGCTGGGAGGTGAAATTGCTCATGTCTCGATTCTGCTGTCCCCTCCCCTTCCTCCTGGGAGTAAGGCCCAGTCTTGGAAGTTGTGCAACAAACTAGTTAAGCCAGGACTGGTTGGCTTAAGTGATCTTTATTCATGGTAAGAGAGGAGAATGTGCTCCAAAAGTGTAAGCGCTCAAGAGAAAGAGAGCCTGTAGTCCTTCAGACCACTTTCACAGGTTAATCTGGCAGTCAGCCTTGGAGAGTTTTGAAGATATACAGCACCCTGCCAGGTTCATGGCTGCAGGCGGGACGTGGAGGTGTTTTCTTCCCCAGTGGCGTTTTTCTTCCTTAAATTGGAATGAAAGGGAGAGTTTTAATGGGCATAGACTTCCATGGATGTCTGAGGGTCTGGAGAGGCACATCTATTGTTGTACTTCCAGTACACTGATTAAGGGAATTGCTGAAGCTTTTACAGGTAAAGAGGAATCTGAAACAAATTCTCCCACTTAGAAGGTGGACCTCATTGCCTTCTGTCAAAGGTCCAGGACCAACTCTATGGCCCCGGATTGCAGCTTCAATCTCTTAATTTCAGAGAGAGCCCCATCTAGTGCCCATGAATGAAGTGCACTTAATTTAATTCTCTGGTTTCAGGGAGAGTGTGGAGAGGTCCAGTATAAATTCCTATAATGAAATACCTGTTTTCTTGAAACATTTGTTTGGAGACGTTAACAAGTATCAGGAAAAGTTTGCAATTTTTTTTTGGCTCCTTGGGCTATATTGTAAAAGATTAAGAGCAAAATGAATTAATTTTTTATTAAATCTTTTGTATCTTTTGGGGAACTACATTTTCACAAAAATGTACAAAAGAGAATACTCTGTACAGATACTTACATTAAATGAATACATAAAATATCAGAAAAGGACATTGGCTCTGTGTTTTAAACAGATTTGACAAATATATTTCTGAATTCTGAAATATTTTGTGTAATTACTTTGAAATCTTTAAGTCTGCAGATAATATTTAAAGCTCAGTTCATACCAGTTACTTTTACTTTAAAAAACACCCTGAATAGATGCAGAAAAAAATTAACTGATATGCTTTCAAAATGACTACTGTATTTGATAATTGGAATTAGCACTTAATGATTTAAAAAAACCCAAAGGAAAAACACAATATTTATTACAGGATCAAATTAACATACATTTTTATGTAACTTTTTAAATTAACCTTTTTCTTGTTTGAGTAAAGGAAATATGTTTGTCTAACAGGCACTCCACAATGAAATTTAATGGACCAAGCAAACAATGACAATTGTAAACTCCATGAAATGCAGTGAATCAGATATACTGTTTTTTTAAAAATAAAGAACGGTGACAAAATGTGGTGTTTCCAGCTAACAAATTCTTTTTTAATTATTAATAAAAATGTTGGAGGGAATTTGAAAATAAAATGTTTGGATACTTTTTCCCACTGTTTGTGTGTCACTTTGGAACCATTTTCAAAGAGTGGGAATTAATTTCTATCTACCAGAGGACATGGTGGGGTAGTAAGTGCCAGATTTTCAAAGATCTTAAAAAGAAACGTGTGTTATAGCTGTGACTTGTTATCACAACAGTCAGGCATCATGGAGTCCTTTGTGGTAAAGCATGACTCAAATAATGTACAGATCTGCTCGCGGTGGCTTGCTAACTTTGGGCTAGTAAAAGTTATCACAGCAGCAAGCAGATAACATGAAAGGCAAGAACACATTCAGACTCTTACCCTCACCAACTCCCACACCTAGTTTCAAACAAAGAAAGTACAAGCCAGTCTCCCAGCCATGTATTCTGGCATTTCAACTGCTTGACAGTTCGCCCAATCCTAATTTATTCAGGAAAAAAAAAATCAAGTTGATCAAATCTTTTCTAAGTTGCCAAACACATCAGGTAGGGTAGATTGAGTTTTGTACTAGGAGTTCCAAAGGTCTTCCTGTTCTATGTGTATATGATGCTTCTTTTCTGTACTGGGTGAGAAAACAAAGTATTTTGATTTAAAAATGCATAAGTGCATGCTTGCACATTTTTACAACTGGTATTAAAAACAACCTTCAACCTTATTTGCCAATAAGAAAGTATGCTTTTCCAAGCCAAGTTTCTGTTTGTAGCTAGCTGTTCTGAATTTCCTTTGAACATCCTATGGTTCTGGACCGAAATTTTAAACATTATGAAGTGACTGAGGATCATAGGTAAAACATTATTCACAGGCTGAAATCCTGTTGCTTAGCATAGTAAATTGTACTAGAGTAAGCCCATTGGCAAGTCAACTCTGTGAATTACCTCAGGAAGTGGTGAGTGCTCCAGCACTGGAGGCATTCAAGAGAAAATTAGACAACCATCTGTCAGATATCCTTTGATTTGTATTCCTGCACTGAGCTGGGGGTTGAACTTGATGGCCTTATTAGGCCCCTTCCAATTCTGTGATTCTGTGATTCTCCTAATACAAATCAGCCAACTCTAGTTGTAATTTACTAAAGGAAGTTGCAACTGGAGTAGCTCATTTCTTTGAATCTTGGAATGGCAGAGCTGGAAGGGACCCTATGGAATATGGATCGCTGAGTCCCACCGCTTGACAGGGAGGCAACACGGGGAACCAAATAATAATTCCAAGCCCTTGAAGATGTGGTACTCCACAGTCTTGTACCATTTTAAGCAAGTTTTTGTTTCCTGAAAAATAGCATGTTTCCTGCCCACTTCATTTCTTCCATTGTTTTTTTTTGTGGGGGGGGTTCTTAATGGCTTCATGTATGCAGATCAAGAACAGGTCAGCAAAGGTAGGTAAACCAGATGTGTGGCTGACTAACAAATGTTGAACTGCATCTCCCATGAACTGTAGCTGGCATAGCTCATAGTGAAGAATGGTGAGAGCTGTAGTCCAAGATCTTGATACAACAATAGAATTATATTCTTAGTGTTAGGGTGTTAGCACAATAACCAACAGCATTTTATGTTTTAAAAAAGAGGCCACCCAGCCAAAGGATCTGCAGTCATTTTGGACCTTATCTGAAAAAAATGGTGCATGAGAAACCTATAAAGCATGAAAAAACCCCTTCAGGGAATGACTGAGAGATTGCCATATGCAAAAGTATGCTTTTTAATCTATTTTTCATTCATTCAGTATTGCTTACAAACATATCTATATACCCTGTTTATACAGGTGCTCTCACACACACACACACGGTGCCTCGCATAGCGACGATAATTGGTGCAGCAAAAATCGCTGCAAAGCGATTTCATCGCTATGCGATTTAAAAAAGCCCATAGGAATGCACTGAAACCCCTTCAATGCGTTCCTATGGACTTCAGACTCACCTTTAAACGAAAATCCTCCATACGGCGGCTATTTTCGCTGCCCGGTAAGCGAGCAATCTGTCCCAGAAAAAAGCAGGCGGCCATTTTCTTTTTACCCGGCGGCCATTTTGGAACCGCCAATCAGCTGTTAAAAATCGTTTTGCGATGATCGGTAAGCGAAACAGTACCGATCATCGCAAAGTGATTTTTCCCTATTTAAAACATTGCAATGCAATCGCAAAAGCGATCGCAAAATCTTTGTCGCTATGCGATTTCATTGTTAAACGGGGCGCCCATTAAGCAAGGCACCACTGTGTGTGTGTGTGTGTATGTATGTATATGTATATATGTATGTATGTATGTATCTATGTATGTATGTATGTATGTATGTATAGGAAACTGATGTATATGTATATATGTATATGTATGTATATGTATAGGAAACTGATGAAGGAGTTAATTATTTATAAAACTGAACAATCTCTTTCTGTTTCCCCATACCACATACTAAGAGAAACACGGAGAAAAATGTGACTAAACTTTCAGAATGAGGGAAATCAATATGAGACTGTGATTGTTTTCACAGAATTTACAGATCAGACATTGTTGCTTATACCAACCAGTGTTGTAACAATCAAGCCATATAAATTATGTTTTATGTGCCATTCAAAAGTTGAAGCATCTTTGTCCAACATAAAACAAATTATTTGGATTCCAGTAATTTCCCCCACCAAATAAATATATAAACACATACTGTATGTATTTAGATGTCTACTTCTGGATGTGTTTATGCTTGTAGGGTGTCAATTAACTATTAGTTAAACATTCCAAATTTGAATTTCCATCAAGGCTGTATTGGCTTGTGATGATGTCACTTGTAACACTACAAATCTGAAGAGCACCATGTGGTGGGGAAAGGGTCAATTTGTGTATTTAAGATAAACTGACAAAATGTATGACAGTCTTAATTTGGGCTCTCAGTTCATGAAATGCATTTTATAGCAATTTTGAATAAATACAGTTATCAATACTAAATTCAGCAAGAACGTCTTGTCTCACTGAGTTCCACTGTTTATTTTGGGAAGCAGAAGGGAGATCAGTATCCAGTTCTCTAGGTCAAGGATGTATGGAAAACATTTTCTACCTGGGTGTACTCATTTACTGAAGGATGTGTGTCTTCACTACCATGTCTACACAGGGGTTGGAGGTCAAATAGAGGCGGGTAAAACAAGAAATCACAGGTCAGGACTTCAAGTGAACAAGGTGACCACTGGCTTCTTCCTTAAGAGTTTTCAGTGTCTTATGTGAAGCTTAAATTGGAAAAGAAATAGGAAAGAATCTTGGTGCCACTTTAAAGACTAATGTTCTGGTTGGCATATGTTTACCTAACACATATGTTTACCTAACTTGGTTGTTATTATATTGTGTTTGTAAATTTATTTATTTAAAATATTTCTACCCCTGCCTTTCTACCCAAAAAGACCCAAGGTGGCTCAAATTGTAACAATATGCACACCCATTCCTCCATGATGCGAAGGCACGAATTGTGTAGGTACACTTACAGAAACAGCCCCCCCGCTCCATGCACAAGCTTTAATTCTTTCACATCAATGAAGTGAAAACGTACAATCAAAAATCAGGGCTTATATCCAGTGCCCCCAAAGTAACAAATCCAGAAGAAGAAAAGAGATTTGGTTTCCTTGTCTCACCATGAGTTATGTACATTGGATAAACTCACGTTTGTATCTAATGAACATGGACAGGAAGAAGCAAGGCCAACAGAGTGGGCTTGAGTAAGAAATATTTTCAGACATAGCACCTGCAGTAGCACAGTGGGTGTTTTAGTCAAGAAAACATGGTAGCAACTATGACAGATTGCAATTTGATCACCAGTACTGATTCTCTACCTTAGAGCAATGTACGGAACAAGGCCACAGGCTGAAGCACTCCTTTGTAGCAGATTCAGCAAACATTTATTCAGGCTAGTGTCTTGTTGCCTAAATGTGGCAAAAGGGAAATTGCTTAAGCCTTCCTCCTTCCAGCCCCTCTGACATGCTCCCAGTGCAAGAATGGGCATGTGATGAGGGAGCCTGATGGGGGGGGGGGGGGGACTTACAAATTTTTCATTCTGCGCCACATTTCGGCAACATAATACGAGCCTCTCTGACACAAATCCATGAGCAAACCACAAGTGGAAATTTAATTGTGCCATAGTGATCTTGTTGATTACCAGAGATGCCTTTTAATACTCTCTGTACTTTACTAAAAAACCCTGGGTACTACGCTTTTAGGTGTTGAAAGCAATATATATAGTGGTCTGTATTATGTGCCATGAAGTCCAAACACGAGACTCCTAATAAGGCTTTCAAGGTAAGTGAGAGAATTGAGGAGTGGTTTTAAGAATTCCAACCTCTCCAATGAGTTTCCATGGCTGAGTCGGGATTTAAATTCACTACACTCTATCCAATGTACCACACTAGGTATCATGTTATATAGTGCAATTTAAATCACTTATGTTCTATGGTTGTGTTTTGGAAATGAATATATTGCCTACCCTATTAATCTGTAAAAATGACGCCCCTGAACAGAAGATCAAGAATGGAACTGTTTACTTTGTTCTGTGCACATGTCCTTCCTTTGCCCTTTTGTGAAGTCTTCAGGCAGAGGCAGCCACAGTGTAGGACTTTGAAACACAACTAGAGTGTAAGACTTCAATAGTATTAAAACTTGTGACAAAATAATCATGATTTAAAGTTGTCAACTCTTAAACAGGGAAAAAACAGACTCTATAAATTATATTACAGTGGGGTCTCTACTTAAGAACGTCCCTACTTAAGAACAATTCCACTTAACAGCTCCATTTGCTAAATTTTGCTTCTACTTGAGAACAAAAATCCAGATAAGAACAGGAAAAAAAAACTTTCCTGCTCTTTTTTTAACCTTAGGTCATCTTAGGTTAAAAAAAAGTTCTCCCCCTAGTGGTAGAGTACGTATTAACCAGCTTTGCATTAGTTCCTATGGGAACTAATGCTTCAATGTACGAACGCACCTCTACATAAAAAAAAAACAGCCAGAACGGATTAATTGGTTTTCAGTCCATTGCTTCAAAATTAGCTTCGTCAGAAGTGCTTTTAACACTGTTCCCTGACCTAAGGGAAAAAAAAGAAAAAAATCCCCCTCTAGTGGTAGAAGGCGGAATAGCAGCTTCCCATTAGTTTCTATGGACGGAAAAGAGCAGATACGGATTAAATGGTTTTCAATGCATTCCTATGGGAAATGCAGATTCTACATAAGAACTTTTCCATTTGAGAACCACCTTCCAATACGGATTAAGTTCTTAAGTAGAGACCCCACTGTATAGGGTAAGCATTAATTCTGCTGATTTCTGAAGCGATGTGGTGATTTCACTTCAAAGGCTTGTAGCATTTGACAGTGAGCTCCACTAATAAAACATGGGAGCTGCTCAACTAAAAAGATTCCTCTCATTGCTTTTATATTCAAAGTTTAGATCACGTGGAAGAACTCAGGGTGAAATGGCGAGTGTAGCAACAAGGGCCTGAGCAAAGAGAGAGCCATCTTCGATTGAAATATGTTTCCATTCTACCACTGAAAGGTTTCATACACTGATGTGTTCAAGATAAGTGTGGTTTTAAAAAAAGAATGGTGAAGAAGTTGTGTCTGTCAGTCATTCTTCTGATTGAAACCATCACCATTACATATATATATATATGAGGGACTTGAAAAATTATTCTGATAAAAGCAATCGGACAGCTGGAGGGGTTTTGTTACATCAGCAACACAATGTCTGGATTATTAATATATGAAAAAAAGAATTATAAGAAATACTCAAGATCACTTAATATGGTTTTGTTTCTTCTACATAAGGAAGTGTCAACTGTTCTGCTTTTCAAGAAGCGTGGCTACAAAAACATCCTTCAGGTGCACTCTGGTGGGACCTGGCATTCTATTTTGCATTCATGCTTCTGGGCAGAAAATGAAGAAACTGGGAATTGTTTGTAGATTAACATATAACATGATTGTGTGTTTGTTATACTGGGCGGAATTGATATTACATACTTCCATGTCTACTTAAACTTATGTTCCACCATGCATAAGGTATTTTCAGTTTTTTAAAAAGTACTCAAAGAACTTATTCTGAGCCCCTGAACCCTACAGAAGGCTATATGGTTTTTCAATATTGGCAGCTTGCACCAGGTTCTTGGGGCTGGGATGTGAGACCTGGAATTTACAGGAAGAGAAGGGAAATGTGGGCTAGTGTGCCTTGCATCATTAGTCACATATGAGACGATGGGAAGAACTCTAGCCCCTCTTAACAGTTAAGCTCTGAGAAATGATCCAATATGTGGAATGCCGATACTGCACCAAGGATATAACATGTATTTCCATGCATGATTTGCTGAGGATACCTGGATTATTGTGGTATTAGCAGCTTTGTTTCTAGTTTTCCTGACAAACTATGAAACAACTGCCCTTCTAGTTAGATTCCTTAAAAGGTTTCAGCAGCACAGTTTTCAATAAAGCTTTCAAACACACAACAAGGGTCTAGTTGTCTGGCCTTCAGATTGATATCATCTGTTGAAACCTATCTGCTTCCCTTCTAGCAGAATGTAAAAGAGATTTCCTTTGTTACCTGCATTTATCTATGTACAATCCTTCTAAGAAAGTGTAGAGGCCATTTGATTATTATGAAGTTACAGTTGGTCAAAACTTAAAACAACATATAGCCAACTTGCATGTCAAGATCTCCAAACTAGCTAGTATAGAGGTACATCAATTATGACATGGAATTGCTTTCAAGCAAACAGTTCCTCTCATCTAATGTAGGAGAACCTCTGGATGCCTGTAGTATGTGAACTGGCTATGAGCTGAAGAGAAAGGAATTCAAATAGCATTAACTCTTGAACAAGAACGAAGTAATTTGTAAAATTTTAATTATCAATATCACTCTGAATTCACCAAGTGATGCTGTGAAAATAGTCCTATTGCTCTGTCTGTCTGTTTTTTGGCATTTGATAACAACTCAAATCTTGCAGTGGTTTCCAAGCTTTTTTGAGTTGTCAGCTTCTTTTATAATAGTCAAGTAACCTGTGACACCACCACATTTGCATAAATAGGCTTCTTTAATGAGGTAAAGTCATCACTTTTCAGAAAGTAAAGGCTTTCTCCCTCAAAGAGCCTGTTTCTCACACATACGCATACACGTTAACTTTAATATCTGGCTCTGAAAGGTCAAGGAAGAAATTATTTAACAAGGACTACCACACATATAAAGTGACGCGCAACCTCCCAGAAAACACTTTGCAACCCCCTTGGGGGGCATGACCTCCAGATTGGGAAACAATTATTTAATATATGAACACTGAAATGAACAGCCTACTTCCCGTCTCTACCATAGTTTTTTAAGCAAACACAGCAATTTATCTTTTATCGATAACACTTTTATTCACAAGGCAAAAACTGGAGTTAGACTTTTAGGTTGTGGGCAAGGCACTCACAGTGTGAGCAAATCCAGTTCTGCTCACAGAACTAATATAATGCTTCAGTGATACAAAAACACTAAATTAGCTTTGAAGAACGGGTTCATGCATGTCCACTAGCATTCACCAGACATGATTACAACCCAGGCCTTAAAACCAGTAGAATTCCACAGGTCCTAGGAACCAACTTAATTATTGGGATTGATTTTTCCCCCTTTTGTTAAACTAAACAAACCTTTTGCTGGACCACTCATATTTTCTATTTTATTTTCACCCATTTTTTTAAAAAAAATCTATGAGCTGCAAGATGGTTTTCCTTTCAGTAATAAAATAAGGAGTCTTCTATTTTAGCGAAAGTCAGTACCCAGTACTTAAAACATTCATGCTGAAAGTAAACACAATGTACAGCACTAGGTCAGAAATAAAATGTCTTGATTACAAATCCAGGGTCTTGTTAGGAAACTGTACATTGAGCCAAAACTCACTTCCTCTTATCTACGTGTTTCAGCATCTGGCAGTGAGTGGGAAACAGATACAGGCTATCTGATACTAGTAGTGTGACTAGACTCAATACATTTGCAGCAGTCCATTCTTCTGATAGACTAGTCAGTCAGACAGCTGTCCGTCTGTCTTTATCAGCACCATTTCTTGAAGCATGCAGGGCACTGGAAAACGTCTCTTTGCAACTGTGGTGCATTAACACCTCTTACTTCATGCAGTGTCCTCTTTGGAAGGTCTCCATGTCCCTCAGTGAGGCATATGTACACATTTCCAGACAAATATGCTGTATTTTCAAAGGGAAAAAACAAGAATTAGTGCAAGGTAGTGGACTTTAAAAGGTGAAACACATTATATTCAAAATAAATTTGAAGACAAGTTCAGACTGGATTACCAAATACCAGAGTTGTTCCACTGTGCGAGTTCACCTTAATGGAGGCTTATCTTTTAAATGTCAGAAACAGCAGGAGACAATTTGTGTTGATAAAATTTCAAGAGTTTCATTTCTTATTCAGATTAAGGTTTACGCACCTGCTGTCATCTCCACCAGCACTGACGACATATCTGTCTCCACTTGTAAAGCGAATATTAGTCACATGGGCTGAGTGACCTAAAAATCTTTTATGTTTTGCCTTAAAACAAAAGAATTCTTCATGTCAGCTTCACTGTTTTCAAAAAGTGCATCCCCAAGCCCACCATATGTACAGCTGGAACTGTCAAATCCCCTTGTCAGCTAGCCTCCACCTTTGAATTCCTGGCCAGCTGCTGGATAACTCTTCTGAGCACAGAAAGGAGGCACAGAGCGTTCACATTGCCAAGGGCATGGCCTCTTTTGCTTCCCTCTCCTCCACTGGACCGTGTTCTGCTCCTTTCAATGTCTTTTGACATGAAATGGACTAGCAGGCACAATCCATCTCTCAATTTCTCCATCCAGAACTCTTGCTACTTGCTCCAAATAAGGGGCAAATCGTTTGGATTATTCCATTGACCTGAACAATCAATAAGACTCCTCAGAGATCCTGTTGAACAGAACAATGAGCCTGAGCAATCTGTTCTACTCTAGGAGATGAAGGAACGCTATCTAACATTTTCCTTTCTCAATACCAGTTTGTCTCTACTGTGTTTCCCTGAAAATAAGACAGGGTCTTATATTAATTTTTGCTCCAAAAACATATTAGGGCTTATTTTCAGAGGATGTTTTATTTTTTTTTTCATGTACAACAATCTACATTTATACGTTACCATAGTCTTTAGAGACTGAAAGATGCCTAACTAATATATAGCATATATACATTCATGATTTTCAAACATAAAGGTCTTACAAATTTTTCTGGACACGGGAAATCAAACAGCTTGACCATGCCAAAGTCATCTCCTGTTACAAGGCTGATTCCCGAGTGAGAAACACAGGCACAATTTACATCAGCTTTCTCAGCATGCCTGGACCAGATTCCAACAACCTCATCTCCTAGAACACTGAAACAAAACAAGAGAGAATTACGTTTCCAGCATGAACACATCAATAGTTGGCTAGGTAGATGATACTGGCCGAAATTCTGTTGATGTCAGTTTAAACTGTTACAATTCTTTCAAATTATCCACTTCATGTCTGAGTGTTATGTGCCACCAAGCCAACCACGAAATCATTTTCAAGGTAAGTAGGACATTTAAGAAGCGGTTTTACCATTGCTGGCATCCAACTGGGGATTCAAAACCAAGTTTCTTTAGTCCTAGTCTATTCACACTTTGTACCTATCATAGTGTGATAACACTATAATATAAAATATCTTAAGAAAAGGACTCAAAGTACGGAACCAGTTTAACACGCCTAGTAGGGCACCAGCTTTTCTTTGCTTGAGCACTAGTCTGCTTGCCAGCATGTCCAATTGCTTTTGGAACTGAGGACTGTTTCAAATACAGTTTGCAATCCTCTGGTTTACAAACTGTACAGGTCTAAAGTGCTCTCTGGTTCCCAAGCATAATAACCATTTCTACAAGGAATGTGTCCCTTGCTTTTCCATTACTTAGGGAGATCCTGCATGACACATAGCAGCCTTTCTCAACTGCCTCCCCTCTGACATGTTCTTCAAATGGGCATGCTGGCTAGAAATGATGGGGATTGAAGTTTAACATATAAGAAATGCTTAGGAAGACTGTCACAGAGTACGAAAAAACTCCGAGCAGTAGGGACTGTGCATACTCTTTCAGACAACTCTGTACTGTATATTTAGAATGCTAAATTGTGTCAACTTACCTGGTCCAAGTGGCCCACGTTATTCTGTCAATCACAGACTGATCAAGGACCTGCTTTCCTGAAGGCACTTCATAAACTTGCCTTTTGTAAGACCCAGTAGAGACCTTGAAGAATTAATACAGAGCAATCAAAATTTAAAATATACATACATAATATGAAAGAGGAACTAGTCTTATATAATAAACAGCAAAAAGTATGTTCAGTGGCTCCTTAAAAATTTCAAAGGAACAAAGGCATGGTTTGTATGACATTCTAGGTATTCAAGCAAATTTGAGGCTGCAATTAAGTGTGTAATGATTTCATGTCCCTATGGGGATACAATCACTCTCAAGGATGTTTTATTTTTTCAGTCCCACAAGGCCAGCTCAGTCCCACAAGGCTTTCTTACTGTGGAAGACTGAAGAGAAAATCTTAGCCTTACTTCCGAGCCAGGCAGGGACACATATTTCCTCAAAACAGGAGGCTCTCCTTCCAGAAGTTCTGTTAATCTAGAAGTTGTGTTAAATGCTGCTTTGTACAGGCACAACTCCCATGTCTATGACTATATAGTGTGACTGTAAGAAGAACACTTTTTATATCACCATCCATATTTACAAAATAAACCTGCCAAGAAAAACCCTCTGTTATATTTACCTGAAGGTAACAGCTATCTGCTGAAAAGTCCATTTGAATTACAAAGCTTGGGATGTCTTTGCAATAGCTTGTTCGATTGAGGGTAGGTCCCAAAGTCAGGTCATAAAAATCCACCGCATTTTCAATGGAACCCACCGCTAAATAATGAGAATCCGGGCTGAACCTAAGTAGACAAACAACTATATTTGAATTCTTAATATTCAGAAGGCATGAACCTGAGCATCTTGGGATACCAGATTTTTATTTCAACCCATTATGCTACATAGTTTGTACCCTGACTGTACTATTAAAATACGTTAACTATTAAAAGGATGGGTTCTTTTAACATAAGGCATAACATAACATAATGTGTTTTCAAATAAAAAACTATACACCATATTGGAATATACATAATTCTTTTTAAAAGATATACCAGAATGGAATGTACCCATCTGCATCTAACTACACCTCTCCATAGCAGGTCCTAAGTGTTTCAAGTGATTTCACACCTTTTATGTTTTTACCCCCTTTAAAGCCTTTTATCACACCAGAAATTCTTTTTCTTTTTTCCAATTCACCACACTATTTTTCTCTTTCCTCTCCAATCTACCCTCCCAGTTACAGAGCCCCAATATTAAAATAAAGATTTTTTAAAAATTAAATTTAAAGATTTAAAAAATTCCAGCATCAAGATTTCAAATAATTTAGTATGCAACCAGGAACTTAGAAAGTTACTTTTTAAGAATTAAAGATATAACAACAGGCTTAACACTAATAAATGAGTGGTCAGATGATGCTCTAGTACTCAGTTCTGTCTGGGAATACAGTCTATTTAATTCAATGGCACAATGTCTGAGCAGGCATGTACAGAACTGCAGTTTTGGTCTGTTTTAAATTCATGAGGGTCCTTCATGAATATCATTTGCAAGGTAGCAGCAAAAGGTGTGGGTTCACATATCTTGCAAGACATTCTCTGTGAAGATAATTCTTCTAAGGAACACAGAATTTTCACAGGGCCTATGAGATGTAAGAGAGATTTCTCACCGGATGTCTTGAATCGCCGATCTCCTGTCCCTTTTCTTTCCCCATATCTTCAGAGAATTCACCAACAAGATAATAAATTCTCCATTCTTCATGCCGATAGCCACCATGTCACCCTCAGGACTGTAAGACACAGTATGTGCTGCGTGGCCCAGATTGACTTTGTTCACCATCTTCTGTGAGATTTTATTTTGTGAAAAGAAGGATACATTAAAATGCTCCTATTTATTTTCAGTAATGCTAGCACATCAAGCATATGTCGTGATTTCTTTTTACAATTGCATAGCCCCTTGGAATAATTTTTAAGGAAAAAATTAAAAATATTCTCAGCATACAAGACCATTTTTCTAAACTATGTAAACTTCCCAAGTACCATGTTTGCACTTACTTTATCTGCTATATCCCAAAGTCTGACTGTTCCATCTTCTGCAGCAGAGAGGAAAACGTCACGAGAGGGGTGTGTTGCCAGACCCCAGATGGGTCCATCCATATGGCCATTAATTAGGATGTTACATGCTGCATTTTTCTCTCCAACTTCTATTATTTCAGCATTCCTTGTCCCAACAAGAATTTTTCCCTGGAACAATGTTGAGTTAACAGAAGCTATAAAACCAACATCTTTATTATTTGTTTGTTTGTTTCATTTATACCCCGCCTATCTGGTCATTGCGACCACTCTAGGCGGCTTACAACACAAAAAGGAGGGGGAAGAGAATTAGGAATTAACTGGGGGGGGAAGGCCTGCCTAAACATCCATGTTTTCAGTTGATTTTTAAAAATGTCCAGCGAGGGAGCCGCACAAATCTCCGGAGGTAAGTTGTTCCAGAGGCGAGGAGCCCCCCCCGAGAAGGCCCGGTTTCTTGTTTTTTCCTTCCGGGCCTCCCTCGGCACAGGCTTCTCAGCCTCACCTCCTGACTCGCTCGAGTGACACGCGTAGAACTGGATGGGAGTAAGTGTTCTGCCAAGTATCGAGGCCCTAAACCGTTTAGGGCTTTAAACGTAAGCATTAGAACTTTGAAGTCAATGCGGAACCGAATGGGCAGCCAATGCAACGCGGCCAGAATAGGAGAAATGTGATGGTGTTTCCTCGCTCCGCTAAAGTGCCTGGCCACTGCATTCTGCACCACCTGGAGTTTCCGCGTCAGCTTCAAAAGTAGCCCCATGTAGAGCGCATTACAGTGGTCTAATATTGAGATTATGAGCGCATGAACCAAGGTAGTGAGCGCCCCGACATTGAGATAGGGTCGCAGCCGGGCTATCCGCCAAAGATGGAAAAAGGTGGTGCGGACCACGGACGCCACCTGAGTCTTCATGGTGAGCGCCTGGTCCAGATGGATCCCCAGGCTGCGAACCCCAGGTAGCGCCGAAGGGACAGGACAGCATCACCTGAAGTTGGAAAAAAGGAGATGTAGAGCTGGGTGTCACCAGCGTACTGATGACACGGTGCCCCACACCTCCTCTGCTGATAAGGGGCTGGTTACTTACAAACCAGGGTACAAAAATTTAAAATCAGTAGATACATGCTGATGTTCTTGGCTGCAGCTAGTCTGCTTGGAAAAACAAATATCAGTAGCATTTGTGCTAGCCAAAATACTTTATGGAAAGATTTTACTGTTATCAGAATGAAGTGGCTGAGTAGTTTAGATGCCCAGACTAGGAAGAAAACTGGGAGAAGTTAAACACCAGATGCAATCACTGCACTGAGTGTTGGAAGAAGGGAAAGAGAATTTCCTATACTGTATTTTTATGACATATCTCCAGTTGTGATAAAGATGTGGTTAAACTCCAGAATTTAGTGGGTCACTCAAAACAAATGGACAGAAAAATTAAGCTAAGCACTAAGTTCAGCTTTTTGTGGAATCTTATCTAATTCTGAATTTGGTTTGTGTCAATTATTTTTATGTAATTGTGCTGCATCTGCTATCTATTGTCAACCTGTTGTACTACAGAATAAAAGGATTCTGGTGGCAACACAGCTATGTACATCAATATTTTTGATAGCAATACTCAGTAGGCATCCTTCAGTCTTGAGAGACTATGGTAACGTGGAACAGCATCTAGTGTGTGGCTGAGAAGGCCAATTTGAGAGTGACAATCCCTTCCACACTGAAGACAAATGCAATCTGTCCCCTGTCTAGCTCCCTGATTTTGTTGCTTTCGTGGAAAAAAATCTGGAACAAAACTTGTAGAAAACTCTTGAATTCCCTAAACATTTATCTGATTTTCATGTTTGTTTGATCTATGCTTGTTTAAAAATGGTCACTGTTTCAACTGTATATAAATATTTGAACTGCAATCTCTGTTAAGAAAAAAAAATGGTAAGAGTTTAAATATAATAGTTAAACACTTTGTAGACTAGTTAGGTAGGCAGGCATCCTTCAGTCTCGAAAGACTATGGTAACGTGCTCTGTATGGGGGACTTGGAACAGCATCTAGTATGGCTGAGAAGGCCAATTTGAGAGTGACAATCCCTTCCACACTGAAGACAAAATGCTCAGATGTCAAAGTTTCCCATCTGTTGAGATCCATTCCTAAGGCCTTCAGATCCTCCTTGTATCGCAGCTGTGGTCTCTTTCTGGGGCACTTCCCCTGCACTAATTCTCCATACAGGAGATCTTTTGGAATCCGACTGTCAGTCATTCTCATGACATGTCCAAACCAATGTAGACGTAATGTATATGCTGTTTCAGTAATGTATACATGCTAAAAATAGCAATACTGCACACTTCAGAATACATCCAGCCAATGATGGCAGGTCAATAGGTGTGGTCTGCCAGTGTCCAGTCATTATTTTAACAAAAGAAATTCAAACAGGCAGACATAGTGACACTGTAGAGCAGAGATGTGGAACCTCTGGTCTGCAGCCTAAATTCAGGATTGTGCTGTTTTGTTTAGGTCAGTGAGAGCTTCCTATGAAATGCTCTCCCATACAAAGTCCTAGAGAAGGAAGACAAGTGGAGAGTAGTCACTAACTGAGCTCTCAACTCAAAGAACACTAGCTCCTTAAACCATTGGTGAGGAGGAAAGGTGGGGAGGCAATGAGGTTAGATCCAAATTAGGATTGGTCTTTTTCACTCTACATTCACCTTTCCCAGTCAGAGAAGGCAACAGAGAAGCACACATTATCCCTCTGAGATACACTGGCTGGGGATGTTTAACCCCCTCCCAAAGGCATCAGGAAGGGAGTAACCTGTGTGTTTGTATATATATATGAATGAATGAATGACCTGGGGGGGGTGCATCTTTGAATGAATGAATGAATGAATGACCTGGGGGGGTGCCTCTCTGCATGTGTGTTTGAAAGAGAGAATGGGACATAGAGATAAGACAATGAGTGTATGATGGCAGGAGGAGATGTGCCAGTAGCAGTTCTACCCAGTTTGGACTCTAGCCCCACTGACTCCTTCTCAGGACCAACTTGGCCTATGTGCCAAAAACAGTTCTCCAGCCCTGCTTTAGACAGTAAATGGGCAAATAAAAAAATATTACTAATACACTGAGAAAATACAAAACCAGGGTAACTCAGCATGTAGATGCCATTAATTCTTTTTTTAAAAATGATTCTGCTATTTAGTTTAATAATACAAAATATGGCAAAAGATACAATACCTATCCATATATCTGCATGTAACATAATGGTGCCTACGATGTCTAGAATTATGCTAAAGAGACCAAGACTTACTTTGCCTCTGCATACAGAGCGAACACAGTCAATCATCTGTCCTGTCTCTAATCTGAAGGCACGGCATCGCCTTAGTTCCTGATCCCAGAGTTTAACTGCTCCTCCTTCTTTTGATCTAGAGAAAATAAATAGATAACATTACAGAAAAGAATAGTTAAAAGTGACTAGAATACATATGCACCAATCCCATACAGAATTCATTAACCAAACAATACAAATTAAATGCACAAATAAAAGACTTAAGTTGTCATGTATATTAATACTTAAAATGCAGACCTCTTACAGTATAATTTACTACATGTATGTAGCCATTAATAACTATTAAATGCATCTGTAGAAGGGAAGGGGACTCACGGCCTCTCTTTGCCTCCTGTTACAATTAAGCCATCGCGTAGGGTTGTGTACATTGCAAATATAGGCCCATTGTGAGCTTTGCCCACAATTCGATTCAATATATGCTCTTTCCAAACACACACATCTCCACTGATGGTACCTGTAAATGTCAAATTATTCTGAAAAGGGGGAAAAATATATTCATCACATGATTTCGAAAAGAACAATGATGCTTAGTTTTAATGAAAGTGCAACTGGTGCTGAACAAAATGGCCAAATTATTATTCCAGTCTGGCTTCAGGCTTAGTTTTGAGACTGAGAAAATGTTAGCCACTCTGGTGTACGACTTACACCAGGGAATTAAGGTGAGGAAGGAATCTCATTTTTCCAGAGCCTCCCAGTAGTTTTCAGTACTACTGATCGTGACATCCTTCTAGACTATTAAGTCTAGAAGAGACACATTATAGCAGATGTGGTCTCAGAAGGTGAACCATTCTGGCTCTGCTCCCTTTATTTTTTATCATCTGGAGCATGAATATAGAAATAATAGTCAATATATCATCAATATGTAGATGATGCTGAGCCATACTCCTCATTTCTATGGCAAGTTCATGGCATTCAGTTTCTGAATTGTGGAGATGGATGAAGGAAAATAAACTAAGCTTAATCTAGGCAAGATGGATGTGCTACAGGCAGGCAAACTGTTTACTCTGGAAGATAGCTTGAAAGCTATGTTAGAAATGGTTGCAATTATTTATTATTTACTCTATTTACTTTATCTGTATTTTAAATATAACCACCAATTTCTTAACTAGTTGTATTTTGCTACTGGTATTTATACCATTGGAGTTATGCCAGCAAACGAATTTAATATGATCTGGCCACCATCTCTGGTTAAAAAACAAATTGTAGTTATAGTAGTGGAATTCTAGTTACATTAGTACAGATTTAACGTTGAGCCATAGTTAATATTATCCTCAAAAGGAGACTGAAATTTGGGTTGATAAAACGAGAATAAGGATCCAAAGACAGGCAAACTGGTGCTTTCTAAATGTTTTGGGTTTTAAATGTGTTAATTACTGATCACAGATCATGCTGGCTGCAACTTCTGAAAACCGCAGCCCACAACACATGGAGGATACTAGATGGAATCAGTCTTCCCAGTGTCACCTGTACATGTGCACATTTTGCCAAATCTTGTTGAGCAATTTATTTACTGGAGATTTACCGCACATTCATTTCTTGGGGATCTGTAGATAACACTGTCTCTTTAAAAAATGATAGTCTGTGTGCCCTGCAATGCTTATACTTTCTCATTGATTCTCCAGACAGTGATCTGCTGCAGAGAATATTCTACACAAACAATCTTCTTTAGAACATCCCAGGAAAGAAGAGAGCCCGCCTGAAATAGCATCACTTTAAGCTCTGCTTATTGTGTGGAAGCCAGTCTCTTAACTAATTTATACAGGAACAACTCCAAGCTGCTGCTAGTTACATATGTTGGCCTTTATAGGGAAGCCATAATCCTCATTTCAACATTACAACAAATGTTACAGATGACAAATTTATTAGATAGCTGAAACCACAGAAGTAATTACTATTCCATATTCATTGACCAAATTTGCAAATTAATCTATCATGCCTGACAAATGTTCCCTCTGTGTGTTTGTGTGTACATGCATGCACACACGCACATGCACACAGAGTTCCATCAGGGCTGCTCACCAGCAGCAAGTTTGTTTAATTCCACTTTTGGATGAAACCCTGGACCTCAGCACACACACAGAGCAAGGATCCTGCACAATGGAGCACAAAATTATAGTGAATGTTGTGCTGACTGTCTTCAGGTATAAATATTCTTGTAAGTTCTTCAGAACTAGCCTAAATCCAAGAGGTCTGAAACACCACATTGCCTTCTAGTGTTTTTAAACAAATGGTTTCCTAATGAAATGAATTTTCTAAACATTCAAATCTGCATTAATTGTTACTGCTCAAAGAAGCACCCTTTTAACACCATTTAGTTTATACGTAGTAGTATCAATATAAATTAGATTCAAACTGCTTAGTGATTCATACAGCAATCCAAAGGAAGTTAATGTGAGAGTAAACCCCAGTAGAGGAAACAGCCCTGGTGGGTTCACACCAGCAGGATAGAATGTTAGCGGACAGGGAACTGGTGGGAAGGAAAATAACTTGCAAAGCCCAGGACATTCTAAAATATTCCCATTGTAGGAACCAGACTTCATCACCACACCCATTTGTTGTTTCTGCCACCAGAGTACCAGTGGTGGGAGAGGTAGGGCAGCACAATTGCTGATACCTTTGAGGAAGAAGCTTATAGGGTTGGATCTCCCTTTACATAGGAGCTGAGAGAGATCACTTATGCTCCCTGGTATGTCCTCCAAAGGATCACAGGATCACTGCCTAAGGCAGAAAGGTCATATATATATATATATGTAACATAATTAAAATGTGGAAGCATGAAAGGCAACATGAATGGTTTTATTAAAAAACAACATTAGCTACGTACAGCTCCAAATGCTACAGATAGCATGGTCTGCATTCGTGCATCTTCTATGGAACTTGTCTGTCCTTTTTTACTGAGAAGTGCTCTTCCAGCAAGGGTCCAGAACCTCACATGTTTTACTCCTACTGAAACAAACTGTGTATCGGAGTCAGGTCTGAATTCTGCTACAAAAATACGCTGGTTATGACCAGCTCTGCTGGCAATTTTGGCACCTAGTAAGAAACATAAATCAAGCTTTGAAGTTACATACACATAATTTTGCCAATAAGCAGTGAAAAAGAATGGTAAGACAACATTCTGCTGTTTCAAGTCCTAAAAACTGAATTAGATATTAAGGTATTTCCATTTGTTTCCTAAACAAATTAGTTTTCTAAACATCTCAAGTATCTGCATTAGAAATAGACACGAAGCATTTTGTCGTTCTTTGCTCCAATTCATCAGCACAGCATTACAGCTGCTGTATGTTCCCTCCCCCTTCTCCACGGACAACTTCCCCACTCACAATTCAATGCATGCCAGCTGGGTTCTCCTTCTTTGCTGGTGCTTCAGTCCAAGTAGGAGCCCGGGCTTCCCTTCCTTGCCTCCTCTGGCAGCCAGACACTCAAAGAGATGGGATGGGGATCCTTGCCACACAGCCACTGATTGGTTGGCTGCCGGAAGAGGCAGAGAAGGGAAGCACTTTGTGCCCATCTCTCATCTGCATTCATACAGCCTGTTTCTGAAAGTATGTTATTTAACAAGATTCAGCAGTTTCTGGTAATCTAAAATGCAAATTGTCTTTAGGCTACTCAGCCTAAAAAGACAATTTGGAATAAAGACATGGGTCCTGAAGGTTATATATTGGGAGGTTTTGGTGATATCTTTAAAACTGGTGACCTCTATTGACCTGAAGCAATAAGATCACATTTAAACAATGGCTGAAATCCTATTATGTAAGTTATGCCTGTGTAAGTTTGATGAGATCAGTGGCAGCATCAGCAATTATTCAGAAATTACACATTTCTGATTGTCCTCGCCATAGTGTTGAGACTCCCACCTGATCATCTTCATCATCAAAAAGCCACTAGAGGCCATGAGATGGGAGGGGGATGTCTTTACTGCTACCAATCAGATGATTTTGGGGAATTAAAGAGTTCCACCCGCCATCCTATACCCCCTCTTCCTGCATGGCTTCCTGACAAAGGAAGTAATTACATCGGAGCCTCAGGAGCTCCAGGCAAGATTCTGGACATACTTAGTTTCTGGAAAATCGCCACTGCTGATGTGATCAAACCTTTGTGTCACAAGTTGTGAAAATAGGATCTCAGCCATTGAATCAAACAATTTATAATTGTGCAGCTTCTATTTGGTAAAATCTAACTTTAAAAAAAAAAACCACAGAGGCAATATTTGGCAACCACACAAGTCCCCACAGTTATTCAGTCCAGGTAACTGAGGATACAAGTTGGATAAGAGACTTGGGTGTTCATTGATTGGACTGCTGCTGAAAAAAATTATTCCACTGGTGAAAGATGTCAAGGAAAAATAATGAACTTATTATTTTTGTTAATTACGTTGAATTTGATGTTACTTTTTGGGGGAGTGTTTTCAGTTATTTCATTTATAATACAAATGTCTTTTTTAATGAACAAAAGATGTTCCTACCTTCCTGCCATTTCCAAATGGTAATGGTATGTTCAGGATCCAGCCCTACAGAGAGAAGAAGCTTGCCAGTAGCACTAAAACTAACTGAACAAACTCCTTTCGAATGGTAGCATCGCAGTATAGACAGTGTTTGTTTATTCATTGCATCCCACACGTGAATACAAGGTGCTGTGGCTGAATAAATAAAAGCACATCAGTAATTTATTTTGCTAGTAAAAGCTTATAGGATTTTAAATACTTAAAATGTTACAATAATTTCAGTTTCTCATGTACACACACACACACACACAAACATTAACGTGTACTTTGTGAATTATGGGTATTTGTTAACCAGAAGGATTGCAGGCAATAAAAATGCCCTATGGCCAAAGAAGTGTTTGTATATGCAGAATCAAGACTGTTCCACTCAAACACCCTGAGGTATGAAATATATGGTAAAATAAAAGCAAACAAAATCATATATAATTAAAATAAAATAAAACATACTTTTTGCATTTGCAAGCATTTCCTGGCACAAATGAATTAGTGAAATTTATAGAGGAATTGACTCACCAAATCTCCAACAATTTTAACTCAGTATGCTAATCCATAGGATTGCAGACAGAATGTTGTTTCCATTTCTCCATATCATGGCTCACTAAATAACGGTGTGGGTTTTTTTGTTTTGGGTTATTTTTTTTGTTGCAGTACATTAAATTAGTTGCTGGGGAGGGGGGAGAGAGGGGACGCGTTCCAGCTGATTTTTTTTTTTTTTGCAGAGGGGGAATTATATGGTGGGTGGTTGAAGTCTGAGAACACTGTTTACAAATGTGCATGTGACAATGTCACAGAATGCTACCACTGTAGGTCATGTTCTGTGTGGAGTTTGCAGCAAAACATGGCTGTGAAACTAAAATTTCTGATGTTAATGCTTGAGAATTAATCTTGCTTTCTATAACTGACATTTTAAAGAGTGACATTATTTTGCAAATACAAAATATTTTACTTTCCTGTGTTCCAAGAAAGATCTGTTATAAACACACCATATGTGCACAACATTGTCAACAACTTCTGCAATTACTCTTGTGAAAGCACAAATATCCAACAGGAAGTTATGAATTTATTGTGTTTTACATAGCCTTTCTGCCAGTGAAGGGACTCATTTTTATCTTTAATTACAATTACTCATGCACATGAATTTTTACTTTTAAAGCAAGGAAACCAAGTATGTATGGAGGGAAAGCTTTAATCTTGGGGTGGGGGCAGAATAGAGATGGGAAAGGAGGGAAGAAGAATTTTTTAATTTTTTTTCCCCAAAGCCTTTTTCTTCTGGACAAATTGAAAAAAAATGGAGTGTGAAATATATTCTTTTACAATGATAAATAATATGTTTATAATATAGTGTTCAAGCTATATAACATGAAGACATTAAAGAAAGACTTCTGAGACTTTATGTATTTAAGGGGAATCAGTTCATGTTTAGAGTGAAATCTTCCATACATTTTCCACCTGTCTTCCTACAATGGCCCATTGCAAACTGTCATGAGTCTGCTGAAACTATATGTTAACAGTACAGTCTAAGATTCTGCTCCTGAATATACAGTGGTGCCTCACTTAACGGGCGCCCCGTTTAACAATGAATCCACATAGTGATGAAGATTTTGCGATCGCTTTTGCGATCGAATTGTGATGTTCCCTATGGGGAAAAATCGCTTTGCGATGATGGCTTCCCCCCTTCATCGCAAACGCCCTATTTTCGCTCAGCTGATCGGCAGGGCCGCACGATCTTGCCCCCCGCCCCCCCACACCCCCGCGGCTTTCAGAGGTGCATTTTCACTGCTGAAAAAGCCCCAGGAGGCTTCTGAATGTGGCGTGAGGGGGGCTCTGGGGGGCGGGCCTGCCCCTGCCACAACCCCACCCACCCACACCCCGGCAAAGCGCCGATCAGCTGTGAGGCGGCGAGGGCGAGTGGCTGGAGCGGAGAAGATGGCAAAACGGCCGCCCGCTGTGTTTTCGCCTGGATTCCTCGCTTACCAGGCAGCGGAAATGGTGGCCGTATGGAGGATTTTCGCATAAAGGTGAGTTTTTTGCCCATAGGAATGCATTAAACAGGTTTTAATGCATTCCTATGGGCTTTTTTATTTCGCATAGCGACGAATCCGTATAGCGACGATTTGGCTGCACGGATTATCGTCGTTATGCGGGGCACCACTGTACTGTAATGGTAGGAGTTACGTACACTACCCAACCACTTCCAATACAATAGATGAATGATTTCAGTTATCATAAGTGAACGTGGTATTGTATTAGAGTAGACTATAGCAATGGGTGCCCCAAACCATCATTGGCTATAGAGTCCAAAAGAAGGTATTCTGTGTTTACTGCTTGATACTCGCACAAGACATTTCCCATAACCCTGTGTAAGTTGTAGAGCACTAGGTCAGTACCACATAGGGGTCACATTGATACAGTTTAGAAGAAATAACAATCACTGCATATATATTTTCCTTTTCTGTTGGATATTTTACAGATGTATACAAAATATGACTACTCAATCATGCAAGATGGCGATAAAAATACAAAATCAGTGCTGGGAAACAATTTGCCACCAAGACTATGACTCAAAAGAAATAAAATGAAATTCCACGAAACAAATTTGTTGTTATTGACAACCATTTTGGATCACTGGTAAAAGCAACAACAACAACTGCATGACAACAATACAATAAACATGGAAGATGATTTATTTATTGACTCAGTCACCAAGGCCTCAGCTAATAGATACATTAAAAATAATATTCATTTAGAAAAGAATTTTCAGCCCCAATAACGTTCCAGAAACTGAGTGAATTTTTTGGAATGTACACTGAAATTTAGGCTCAGAATCACTTATAAAAACAAATGTGGAATACAGTAAAAATGAATATTTGATTTTGCTGCATTAAATCTTGTACACACATAATTTGTTTAATTTTCTGTTTAGTCCTAATGGAATTAATGATGTGCCGTTTTACTATCACAGTAATATATTCAATTAACCTATCTAAAACACTAATAATAACTACAAAAAGCCTAGTTAAACCTGAAAATGTTAAAATGATGTTTCCCTTACCTGACATATCTGCTGAGTCTCCTGTAATGGAAAAGCAGCAGAAAAATAATTATAATGAGAATGAAGGGGGAAAAAAAAACTAAAGGAGACTGGGTGTTAAAATCTATGATTTGATTTCAGAATCATCATCAGTTGTATGGCAAGTACTGAATATCTAAGCTGACACTAATTGTCCATATATGAATAGCAGCTGTTGCTCCCAAGAAGAGAAGGTACTGAATAAGTATGGATGTCTTTTCTTCAACCATGTTTTAGTTAGTCAAAGTTAGCACAAGTTTGAGTTACATGGAATTGGCAGCTGTAGGCAGAGCAATATTGCTTTGTTAAGACGTACTAATACTCTTGTTTTTACTACAGTTGAGAACAACCAGAAGAAATACAAGGCGGCAATCATATTAGTTATTAATCGATAGTGCACATATAGTACCACAGACCACAAATGGACATTAAATTAAGGAAGCCTGGGGCATGTGTACTCGCACTTCACAATTGTACATTCTTTCAAGAAGTAATTCCTTATTTAACACAAATCACAATTTACTGCTGCTTCTGAATCATGGTTTGTGCTTGTCCTCCAACTCAGCATTTAGAACCTATAATTTGTACTTCAGATGTGATTGCAAACTATAAATTCCATTGAACAGGAATTCAGTTATTGTGTGCGTAAGAGACAGAGAGGTGGAGTGGAAATACATTTCCAGTCTTCAAGAGTATAGTAGAAGGAACAGGATCATTGTGCCTCAATCCACCTATTGTGTTCCTAAATATGACAAAACATCCAAGGATACAACAGATCCTGCATTATAATTGTTTATAATGAGGTGATCAATTCACAACTCAAATCCAAAATTCTATGTTTTTTTTCCAGAGGATGGAAAAGTTATTTCTTTGGACTATGACTCAGAATTCTGAGATTTGTAGTCCATTTTTAAAAATTAGAAGTTTTTGTATGGAAATGGAAATCTTATGCTTACAAGGTCAATGTTAATTTAAAAACAGTTCTTTTGAAAAAGTAAATTTCTTTACTCTGTTAAACGAAAAGGTTCAGGGAACTGAGTGCATGAACTCAAGTTCCAATACTTCATACTAGTTCCTAGAACATGCCTTAAAACTTGCCATTTGAACCAAAGGCAGGTTTGCTATGTTTGTGATGATGTTACAGATTTCAGTCTCAAAATCTGTTCTATAACAGGAATTCTGGCTAAATGTCTCATTCAAGAATGTATTTAACACCAATGTAAATCATACATTCTACAAATGTTTTCCTACCCACTGTTATACATGTAAAGGCATTACAAGTAAGGGTATTGCATGATTAAGTCTTTCCAAAGGATTGTAATACAAGAGAAATATACTTTTAATATTGTATCATTTAATCAACCTCAGTGTGAACTTGTTCTGATTATTGTCTATCAGATTATTTACAATTACTGCTTTTCAATTATTATAGTTTCAATGTTTTTTAACTATATAATAAAATGGGAAGCTTGTCCATTATGACCAGTATTTTTTCAAATTTCAACCCTTCCTTGTGATCGGCATTAGCTCCCTGTTCCAGGTAAGTGCTACAGATGTTCCTCTTATTTTCTCCAGGTAAGTAAATGGTCCACTGAGTTCTATAGGAAACAGTAAAACGCTATTACCACACAGCTGCATTTTATTTAGCAGGATGAGGCAAATAGCCAAATTATCCTCTGGTGAGACAGCTCACCAAAGGCTTCTTTAATTATCTGGGACAGCTGAATATTAGAGTGAAAGTACAAACTACAATGTTGTGTTTTACAGCTCACAGACAAAGCATGTGAATTGCATGCAGAAATATGTCAGTTTTGTGCAAAATACACATCCTTCCCCCTTCCCATAGTAATGGGCATTTCACTAGTTAAGACTAATTATGTGCACGATGTACATAGTAGTCTACATTATACCAGGTATGGAATAAAAATATGAACGTGTGTTGTACTTAAATGGGGCTTAACAGTTTCAGTTTGTTTTAGTGAATGTCACAATGAAAATAATAGCATTCGTTTGAAAGTATAAAGAATTCTTAGTGATATAAGAAAAAGTATAGTTGGCACAGGTAACTGAGTAACATTCATACAAACAGGAGCAGCACAAGTGATTGCTTTCTTCTATCTATGAATTCACACAGCTAACTTTTCATGCTTATGTATTGATTTCTTTTTTTAACAATACAAACATACCTACTTGGCCAGTTGCCACAAGGTTGATAAACTTGGGATGCTGATTGATAGTGAGGCACAAAATATCATCATTGTGTTCCTGGTAAAAAGACTGAGAACCTGAAGAGGAAAACAAATATAGTATGTCATTTAAAGTACAATATCACATCTGTGGGGGGAAGATAAGGGGGGGCAAACACTTATCAGTATAAAAGGGGAGTATGAATAATCTGTGGCAGAAAAGACTGTGTATCTATGTTTCCTACCTGTTGCCACATTGTACAGAATACCAACCGATGCAGTGTGATATATGATGTCAGCACCGTCATTCAGATAGTGCACATTATTCCTGCAATCTCTACCTCGATATCCAAACACCAGCTCCAGTACTAGATCCTAAGAAAACAGATGATCACCACAGTCTTAAAGCTTCCTTGCAAATAAATGCTATTTCACTGTTTTATCCCTACATCATTTAATGAATGTCATTTTAATTTTAATAAGGTCTGAAAACACCAAGGAGAATCCTATAATCTATGTCACCATATATACAGAAGAGGGGAAGAGAGGGCATGTCCTCTAATCACTCTACTTGACAGGGAGCCCATTTCACTCCTCAACCTTGCCCCCTCCCCCTTGTGCCCTTTCACTAATCTGTCCTGGGCTGCTGAAAGAGCTTTTTAAACAGACACAGAGTAATTCAGTTTGCATAAGACCACCACCTCATCAGTTATTCTCCCTGCTTATCCAAAAAGAGCCCCTAGGATCTGTTTAATTGTGTTTTTGAATGAGATGCATCTCATTTCTTTCTGCTAAAATGAAGATAATAAAAGGAATAACAATTTTCTTTACCTCTATAGGTCTCTTTTTTTTCCCAACGTTATTTGTCTGAAGTTTTTCAGGCTGAGGCAATGCCCTACTAACTGGTGGTCTGAAACAAAGAACTGTGAATAAGAAAAGGTTGTCCGTCACCCATTCAGTACTAAAACAGCATCTTCTGAACTGTCACCTGCATAGAGAAAACTGTTAATGTACTTCACTAGGAGGCCAACTTTATATATAAAAGGGCTTCTTCATTCTGCATATTTTAAGTAAGGCTACTTTCCCGCCAACCTAGCTCACCTGCATAGAGAAAACTGTTAATGTACTTCACTAGGAGGCCAACTTTATATATAAAAGGGCTTCTTCATTCTCATATTTTAAGTAAGGCTACTTTGCTTTAGCATTTTTCTCTTGACTAGAGTTGGCACAAACTGCTGGTTCACCTCGGTGGGAAGGTAACAGCGTTCCATGTCTAAGTCGCACTGGCCATGTGACCACGGAAGATTGTCTTCGGACAAAACGCTGGCTCTATGGCTTGGAAACGGGGATGAGCACCGCCCCCTAGAGTCGAACACGACTGGACAAAAATTGTCAAGGGGAACCTTTACCTTTACCTTACTTTGCTTTAGCATTTTTCTCTTGATTAGAGTTGGCACAAACTGCTGGTTCAGTGCAGTTTGTTTCCCAATTAAACAACTGATCTGCACTTCAACATCCTGTCCCTCCAGCGGGCACCCCCTCAGTAGTTAGGTGCTGGCATCAAGTGGATGCCTGCTAGAGGGGGCAGGACACTGGATCAGCTGTTTGGCTGGGAAATGACCCACCAAATCAGCAGTTTGTGCTCACCTCCACTCTTCACTATAGCTATTTACCAGCCTCAAAAGTGTAAGATTCCCTGGCAAAGACTACCTTCTCAGTTTTGGTCCCCAAGTTCACACTTTTCCAATCCTTTCTGTGTTGTTTTCTTATTGGAATACTACGAGTCAGTATCTGAAAGTTGAATCATGGCAGCTGGACTTCTTTCTTATTAGGTTGAAACGTTTCATTATTCATCCAAGTAGCTTTTCAGTCTGAGGAGAGTTGGTAGGAGACCCCTGATATATCCTCCATGTTGGTTTCACTTCCCCCTGGTCTGAATAGGCTTGTTAGATGCACAAAGGATGGGGGTGAGTGAAAATCCCACTTCTGCTGTCCTTCCTCCATCGTCATGAGTCGCTAACAGTGGTCTTTCTGGTGGGTGAGGTCCTAATCTTTCTGGGGATAGATGAAAGGGCAGCATGATAAATGGGAGACAGATTGTATCTAAGGTCTCCACCCCTCTTGAGTGAGGGATTTTCTATATGCACATGTATGGCCTCCTTGACACCTTCTCTCAAACGAATCTTCTTGGTCCAAAATGAGTACATCTTGGTCATCAAATGAGTGTCCTTTTCCTCCAAATGAAGGAATACTGCCGGTTGTGGTCCTGAATTGTTGTCTGTCCTGTGCTGGGCCATTTAGTGGCTCTTTCGTTTCTCTAATGTAGAGGTCTGAACACTCCTCTTTGCATTGGACCACATACAGTGGTGCTTTGATTTACGACCATAATCCGTTTCAGAAAATGGATGTAACTCAAAACGGTCGTAAGTCGAAGCACCATTTCCCATAGGAATGCACTGAAATGCAATTAATCCATTCCGGCCAAAGATAAAAATAAAAAATTATTGCAAGACTCATTGGAAACGCAATTAATCCCTTCTGGCCAAAGGGGGGGAGGAGAAAAGCAATCAAGCATGCAAGACCCACTGGAAATGCACAGAAAACAAATGAAGCAGATTGGAAATGCACAGAGAACAAAGGGGGCAGGTCAGAAATGCAAATAAAACAAAAGAAAAACCAAGTAAAGCATGCAGGACGCATTGGAAATGGGAAAAAACAAAAAAGCAACCAAACCCCCCATGACCCATCAAAATGGGGGGGACAAAAAACAAACAAATCCCCAAGACCCATCAGAAATGGGGGGAAAACACTCCAAAAAGCAACAAAAACCTCCAAGATTGGAAACGGGGGGGGGGACCAACCAACCAAATAACCCCCCAAGAACCATCACAGCACAGAAACATAACCTATCCAGCCCAAAACCACACTGCAAAAAGACCCAGAACAGTTTTTAAACAGCAGAAAACAGCACCTTACCTTACCAGGCAGCCCGAAGCCTCCCTGCAAACACACACACACATGCTTACTCAGAAGCAGAAGCGAGGCAGTCCCAAGCCTCCGACGACGCACACTCTCTAACTGCTGGGGCGAAAGAGCTACAAAGAAGCAGCCTCGTCGCCATCTACAGTTAGAAATTAGAATTTCCCGCCTTTTCCCCCTGCCTTTTTCTGTTCGTAAGTGGAAGCTCCAGTCGCAAGTAGAAGCCAAATTTTGTTACCGGAGCTGGTTGTAACTCGAAGTGGTCATAAGTAGGGATGTTCGTAAGTCGAGGCACCACTGTATACTATATTACTCCTGTTGTGTTTTGGGTGGACAAGTCTCTGCCTTAGTGTGTTTGTGGGTTTGAAGTGCATGGGTATGTGGTTTTACCAAAAATCCTTTTGAGCTTTTCCAACAAAATCACCATGTAAGGAATAACCAGGTTCTTCCATTGGCTCTGGGTCTCAGCCTGTTCCATTGTCCTGCTAGGTTGGGATATTGCTTTGTTAAAGGCCCATTTTGGTTCTGCACAGGCCTTAAGGGCTGTCTTCAGATTTCCGTCTTCCTTCTTCTTGGTTTCTGTGGAGGTGGGGATGTTTCGTGCTCTGTGGTTTATGATCCCTGATGACCCGCAGTTTGTATTGCAATGGGTAATGAGAGTCAAACTGCAGGTACTGATCAGTGTGTGTAGGTTTTCTGTAGATTTCTATCGTGTTTCTATTTCACTCACCCCCAGTCCTTTGTTCAACTAATAAGCCTATTTAGACCAGGGGGAAGTGAAACCAACATGGAGGATATATCAGGGGTGTCCTACCAACTCTCCTCAGACTGAAGAAGATACTTGGATAAGTAGCAAAATATGTCAACATAAGAAAGAAGTCTAGTTGCCATGACTCAACTTCCAGATAACTTCACTTGGATGACTGAGAATTTTCACAGATATATGAGTCAGTACAGTCCTGTTATGAATTTATAAAGAGAAGAGAGTGTAACTCATCTCTAGGCACCAAAGATACTTACAGCTCATTAAGGCTCAAAAATGTAATCAGTTCCTCCTGAAATGAACTGCTGTTTTAATAACACACAAACTAATTCATCTAACTAAAAAGTATTTGAAAACATGTAGTTTGTATTACTTTAATGACAGAAACACAACATGAGAACATAGACAGATGGCAACAATCTGCAGCCCACCCCCACTTTAATGACAGAAACACAACATGAGAACACAACATAGACAGATGGTAACAATCTGCAGCCCCCCCCATTATATCATTTTGAAACTTATGACAGCAATGTATAGGATGCATTATGGAAAGGAATGATTAGCTGACAATTGGTAACATCTCATCAAACTCAGAAGGCAAGCATGGGCTTTGAGTGAAAATTTGTACAGTATTAGCATGGTGTTACCAGGCCAGTTGTGCTATGTTGTTATCATGCAGAACTTGCATACTTCTTTAGTCCCCGCTAGTATTCCTATGCTGATATCATACGGTGGCAGAAGGATATAGCAGAAAGCAATGAAAGTGAAGGAATATTTGCTGTATTTGTTAAAAGACATCACTTCACATTAGAATGATATTGTCTGTCTTTGGGTTTGACAGAAAGTAGAAGACAAAAGAAATTTCTATACTTCTTTTTCCAAAAGTTCTTAATGGTAATGGATGCAAGTAATGCCAGATGCCCAACAATAGCTTTACTGCTGTGACAATCTGGTATGAGCTACAGATTAGCAATGCAATCTTGCACATGTCTATTCTGATGTAAGTCACCCAGTGTTTAAAACAGCAGCACACTGTACTCAGTGGGCCTTTTTGCCATTTAAGAGGGCATAGGTTTGTAGTTTTAGCATCCAGCATCTACCAGAATTCTATGAAAATTGATAGAGCATATCCAGATGAAGAGCTTCATATACTACTAGCAATCAAAAACCACCCACCACGGCTATTTTGGGGTAGGAGGGTAAAATAGGACAAAGTAATTAGAAACAGGAAAATGAAGATACATTCTTTATTCACACCAATAAGCTATTTTTAAATGTCAGCAGGATCAGATCAGGGCTACCTACACAGAGAGGAGAAACCGAGAACACAATTGAGATATTTTTACATATCTGTCCAGGCACCCACAATTCCATAAAAGCTCTGAAATACAGCAAACAATAGTTCTGGTCTTTCTAACTTGCTTTTAGTTAGTGTGAAACACTTTAAAAATAGCCCCTTTAATCAAATTTCAACCAAAACCCTACATCTGGAAAAGAGTGACTTATGACAGTCAGGGAGTACTATTATATTTGGGAATGGCTCATTCTAAAATGTGAGGGTGTCACACACCCCAACATGTTAGATCCATGACTATATTACAGGCAAAAAGTGGGGCTACTTAAATTACCCCCTAAGACCCACTCCAAGGCCATAACAAGCAATCTGTTGAGTTTGCAAGAGCTGAGAAGGGCTGTTGAGAGCAGGACATTTTGGAGATCAGTCATTCATGGGGTTGCCATAAGTTGAGGGCGACAACACATAACAACAATGGGAAAATGGAAGGTAAAGCAGAGCAGTGACATTTCTAGGATCAGAATGCATTCTTTTTTACAGCCTTAAGCTTCTAGCCATCTAGGGGAATGGATCTGCAGAGTGAAACTGGAAGAATCGTTGTGCGTGTTTTTGCACAATTCAAAAAATTTTAAGGCAAAGTCAAACATTACACCAAGAATCAAAATCGAAATAGTGAACTAGGCACCAAAAAACAGTTCCTGGCAAATAGGTATAGTCTGAGTACATGTATATTTTCTTTCACAAACTTAAACCTTGCCAGTAACAGTCCAAGAAATAAACTCTGCTTCTTAACTTTCCTTCTCTCCCTACTCAAATGACATAGGAAGCACCACAAACTATATATCCTCCTCACAAGTGAGTTTAGGTTCAG